CACGTTTCAATTGTCTCTTTGAGTCATTCAACAACAATAATATCTGTAAAAAAAAGCACTAATTTGGACTTATTCCTTTTCTATTTCTACATTTCTTAACAAATAGAATAACCATTTATTGCACTTAAAAACCTAAAATGTGAAATAATTATTTTAAAGACTTTGCTGTGTACCGTAATCAATTATAATGTTCTTATATCTTACAGTATAGTTAAACTATGATTAATAAAGAATGTTTCTGGACAGACTGTAATAATGTTATTTTACAAGTGAATAGCAGAAACGGTAATGACAAGTATAAACACATTTAATATAATACACATATATATTAACCATACATACAAATATAAATACAAGTAATAGATTATATATCGTATAATATTCATATTGTAACAAATAAGTTAAATGACTAACTTGGAAAAAAATCATTTTTGTACTTTTTAGACAAAGAGAAACTAGCAGAATAATAATGAGGGTAATATCTAATCAGTTTTCCCAAAGTTGCCCACAGCAGCTTCAACATTTGTTCTGTTATTGATTAATAAAGAGGGAAAAAAAAGTACTTTCATAACAGTTTGCTCTAATAAATAAGAAAACAACAAAAGTTCTTCCTGTTTTGCATTTGCACAAAAGGCTAGAATTCAGTTGTCTGACATATAGCCAGTAATATAAATAGTAAAAAAAGATACAATTCTGTTTGTAGCTATATCTCTCAGGTAAAGATAATTAATTGTTTAAGGCGTTTTTGTCTAAAAAAAGCTGAAAATTCTATGCTGTTTAAGACCTCAAAGAATAAAGGTCATTAACCACTGGGTGGAGCTGTCACACTCTTCCCCTTTTTCCTCCTTCCTGTCTTTATCTCTGACCACAGTCTGTCTCTTTCTTCGTGTCACAGCAGCATCTACATGTACGTACATCTCTCTCACCTCGTCCCTCCTCATTGCACATACAGAGAGTTTTTTTTTTCTCCCCACACTGATTTTCATCTCCTACCAAAGACCTGACACTTCTGTGCTCAAACACAACCACTGTTATCTGAACAACACGTCTGATTTCACCTCTCTGGAATCTTTTCTACCAAAAGCACCGTGTTTGAAAACACAATAACATGTTACAAAAACAGGTTCCTCTGACACTCCAGGCATAACCCAGGAGGACCACAGGCACACAGACAAACACGACACGAACCCTGTCACGTCTCTGCCTTTTTATACAGAACTGCACTATGACACACGGTTTACATAAATAAAATGTTAAATATTTTATTTATGTATAGGTATTGTATATCCTCAGAGGGATGAATGCATTTCATTGTCCTGCAACTGGACATATTTCGAAATAGTTTGACTCAAATCTATTGCAATTTTGTTGTTTCAGTTTAAGCAGCTGGTGTTGCTGAAACACCACCAACCAACAAGATGAATAAGGATAAGCTGAAGAGCACAGACCTCCTCCCACGTGTGTTAAAAATAAAAATCTAGCTACATTAATGTGCATATACCATATTTTATAAGCTTTGAAATTCAACTGTAGGTTCAGTCAAAGATCCAAACTACTTTGACTGGAAAAGAAAATTGCGTTCATTTCACTTGGAGAAGGACAAAGGAATAAAAGACTGGCAGTGACGTACAATAGAAAATATAAATGCCATTTCACATAAGTGGACCTTGTGCTTATTGTTTGACGCCTTGACAAATCAGCTACCATGTTG